TATTTTAGGGCGCCTGGGTGACTCAGTCAGTTAAGCGGCTGCCTTAGGCTCAGGTCATGATCCCAGAGTCCTGGGATCAGAGCCCCACATTGGGCTCCTTGCTTAGTGGGGAGCCTGCTTCCCCCTCTGCCTGCTCCCCCTGCTTGTGCTCTCTCTCTCTCCCTCTGTCAAATAAATAAAATCTTTTTAAAAAAATGAAAGTTAAAAAAAAGAATTATATTTTAATTACATAAAACAAGGTATATTTCTATGATCTTCAGGTGTATATAACAGATAAGACATACTACTTGTTCTGCAATCTCCATTGTTAGAGACTGTCCGCAAATTAAACATGTTAACACTAACCAGATTATGGTAGCTACTCTAAACATTGTATAAAAATCTATGATAAGTTTTCATGTACTTAAAACTCAATAGCAACCAGTATTTGGAAATCATCAACTTGGATTTTTCCAAATGCTTCATGAGAGATTTACCGGGTCTGTAAGCAAAGATTAACCAAAGGTCATGTAGTACTGTCATACTAAAGAGACTAGAGAAGACACTGAAGAAGTGTGCTGGGCAAAAGCAATTAACTGCGCCCTAAGGCAGACAACAGAAGCCAAACTATTGGCAGAGAGGGCTGATCAAGGACCCTGGTAACAGGAAATGATCCCACACCAGACTGCGAGTTTGATGGGAGAGGCCCTTCAAAATCCCATGACTTTATTGGATCATCATCATCCGCACAAAATATGCCTGGCTAAACTTTTGTAAGCCCCTTTTTAAATAAAAATAAATTATGTCTGTAACTTTGTGATAAGAGTTCTTTCTAAACACGTGTGATTCTTTGCTCTAAAAATATTCTTCATTAACAAATAAAATCATCCAGGATCTTGATGATATGTGGACCTCGAATTAAAGAGTAATGTACCACACACAGAAAAAAATAGATAACACCAGTAAAAAAAAATCAGCATCTCTTAAAGAAATATGGCCCTGTGAAGCAAGCTGTTGTAAATGCTAATTTGCATATCTGCCAATTGTCACCCCTTCTGGGGTATAGCCACAGCCGCAAAACCCTTCCCCTGGCATTAACACAGTTACTTATTCCCTCAGTTCTCCTTTGGTTTGGAACCCCCTGATCTTAGCTCACTACAGGAGTATAGCCAGAATTTTTCCATCGCAAATGCCTTTTATTCAATGGTTGATAATCCCCTTGTATTCTAGGTGGCACTTTTCATTTTCCTGGTGAGTGCTCCAGAAGTAGTCTAAGGATAAACATCCTGTGTAAGGATGTTTAAGGATTACATCCTGTGTAATACATTTTGCATCCCCAGAACCTCGTGCTCTAAGTAGAAAGCAGTTACACTCACACCGAAGTGATGTTGAACAGAATTTCATTTATATAATCTTCCTGATTCTTATATGATCTATATCAAATAGCCACAAATAAGCATTGACTGATGTTTTCCCAACGCTTCTCTAAGCAACGGAGAGATATATCGATAACTAAAATGGATTTGGAAAATTAAGCCATGCCCAAAGACACTGAGGATCATCCTAAGAGAATGGCATAGTTGAACCCTATGATAGCCTGTTAACTGAAATAGCAGCAGGGAGGAAGACAATGCCTCAAATGCTCACACAGTTCCCAGACAGTTTGAAACATTGTACTGTCATGGGGACAGAAACCTGGTCCCAATTAGAGTCACTTTACAATATTTATTTTCTTTTTTTTTTTTCCTACAATACATACTTCCTCTTTTTAAAGAGAGTCAGCAAAGATGGAGTGCCCACACCACTTTGGAAGCCTATTCCTATGTAAATAAGAGCATTTGTTTTATTCAGATTCCCACAAACCGTGTCCTCCATCCAGTAAACATTCGAAACAGCAGAGCTATAGACTCTAAATCACTGTGTGCCATACCAGGCACTAAAAAAGAAAAAAAAAAATGTATGTCGAAGCGGAATTGTTTAAAATTAGACAGCACCAAAGCATCTGAGTATATGCCATAGGGAACAATTTTGCTTTGCATTAGGTAGCAGGATAAATACTTGTGTATCCTAATTTTATGATTTTTCTTCCATGGTAATGACATTCTGAAAATGGGGTACTGCTTTCTTGGGAGTAGGCAAACTGCTACATCTGCTGACCTACAGAAAATTTCTGAAACATGAAAAGCCTAGGGGGAATTCAGTGCCAGGTGGCGGCAAGTATTTCCTCTCAAATGGCTGTCACTGCAGGTGAACAGCCACAGCCACTGACAGGGATCTGGAGGGCAGCTCCAGTACAGACAGTAAAAGTTGCCAGCATTCTTTTGAGAATCCCTACTGACTTTTGAATATTCAAATTGTAGTTCCCTTGAAGTGAACTACATAGGCAACTTGAAGGAATGGCTACCATGAATTTGCTATTGCTTTAGCAAGTTGCAGTTTTAAGTGGCCCTTGTGCCAACGACCTTGCTTACTATGGCTTTTCACAGTCAATAAGGACTTATCCTCAGCTGCTCAGTTTCTAGCACTTTGTTGAGATCTTACGCAAAAGATATGAAAGTATTTTCCCCTAGGGAGCTTTTAATCAAGTTATTGTTTCTTAACTGATTTTAAAATATTTTTTATTAAGGTAAAATTAACATGAAATACAATTAACTGTTTTAAAGTACACATTTCAGTGATATTCAATGATATTCATAATGCTGTACAGCAACCAGCTCTCTCTAGCTTCAAAACTATTTCATCTCCCCATTGAAATGCCCAGTACCCATTAAGTAATCACTCCCCCACCCCCATTCCCCGGTAACCCTTAATCTACTTTCTAACTCCATGGATTGCTTGTACTGAATATATTATGTTTATATTTATAGAAATCATACAATATGTCTTCTGTTTTTGACTTCTTCCACTTAGCATAATGTTTTCAAGGTTCATCCAAGTTGTAGCATGTATCAGTATTTTGTTCCTTTTTATAGCTCAATAGTATTCCATTGTGTATATATATATGCCACAATCTCTTTATCCACTCATCCACTGATGGACATTTGGATTGTTTCTACCTTTTGGCTATTAGGCATAATGCTACTATAAATATTTATGTGTAAGTTTCCCTGTGGACATATAATTTCTCATAGGTATACAATTGGGAGTAAATTGCTGGGTCATATGGTAATGCTATATTTAACCTCTTAAGGAACCACAAAACTGTTTTCCACTATGGCTACACTGTTTTACATTCCCACCACCAGTGTATAAGGGTTCATGTTTCTCCACATCCTTACCAACAGTCAATACACATAAAATATTGATATAACTAACCCTTATCATTTTACAACTTTGTAGCTAAAGATCAAAAAAGAACTCTCAAATCAACAACCAAATATTGTACCTTAAGAAAGTAGAAAAAGAAGAGCAAACTAAACACAAAGGCAGCAGAAGGATGAAAATAATAAAGATTAGAGTGGAGATAAATAGAGAACCGAAAAAAATTGAAACAACAAAAACAAAACCTGTTTCTTGGAAAAGAACAACGAAATTTACAAGCCTTGAGTCAGACAGAGTAGGAAAAAGGGAAAGACACAAGTAATTAAAATCAGAAACGAAATCACTACTGAATGTAGAGGAATAAAAAAGATTATATGATAATAATACGAACAACTGTTCACCAAATTAGATAAACTAGATCAAATGGAAAAACTCCTAGAAACACACAAATCTTCAAAACTGGCTCAAGAAGAAATAGAAAATCTCAAGAGACCTATAACAAGTAAAGAAATTGAATCAGTAATCAAAAACCTCCTAATAAAGAATAGTTCAGGACCATATGGCTTCACTGCTGAGTTCCACCAAACATTTAAAAAATTAACACCAATCCTACTTAAACTCTTCCAAAAAATAGAAGAGGAGACACATTTCCTAACACATTCTAGGATGCCAGCATTACCCTGAACCAAAGCCAGACAAAGATACCACAAGAAAACTACAGACCGATATCCCTTATGAATAGGGACACAAAAGTCCTCCACAAAATACTGGCAAACCAAATTCAATAACACATTAAAAGGATTAGACTCTATAACCAATGGGATTTATCCCAGGAATACAAGGATTATCCAAAATAAGAAAATCAGTTAATGTAATACATCACATTAATAGCATGAAGGGAAAGAAAATTATATGATGATCTCAATAAACACAGAAAAGCATTTGAACAAATGAAACACCCTTTCATGATAAAAACTCTAAGCAAACCAGGAATAGAAGAAGACTTTCTTAATTTCCTTTTTGGCAGGTTAGTTTTGTTGTTGTTGCTGTTTTCTTTCCTTCTGTCAATTATTGGCAACTTTAAAGACAATTCCCTTCGATTTAAATACATACTGTATTCATCAGTTATTGCCAAAACAGTGATGCTTTAAATAAAATTTCCAAATTCCAAAACCTGTAACTCCCCAAAATAATCCTTTATTATTCTTTCTCAGCTGAGAATCAACTGGGTTTGGCTCAAAGCTTTAGGCTGGGTCTGTTTGACCTTATGTGTCTCTTTCATTTATCTTAGACCGGTGAATAACACAGACCAGTCTATCCAGGGCGAGGGCCAGTTCTCCTTATTGAGAGATCATGGAGATTCAAGATTATAAATAGCAATACATGCTGTTTCTCAAGGCCTTGGTTCTAGACTAGCACATCTTCACTTTTGCTCAAATATAATTAATCAGGGGGTGGAGGGGGGTATATTGCAAGCCCAACATCAATGGAGGAGGTAAATATACCTCACCCCCTCTGTTACACTGCAACATCACATGGCAGCAGTGGATAGAGAATTGAGAATAATCCAATCCACCAAAGATCCTGTCATAATAATAATGCAATATGGAATAAACAGCATAAGGAAGGGGAGAGAGAAAAATACCAGGAATGAAGGGTGCTCTGTAAAGAAATATTTATATGAAAAATAGGCTAATTTCTGCAATATACTACCTAAAAATGTCATTGGCTTAAAAAAAGAAAAAAAAATTCTCACTTACTCAGAATCAAGTATGAATGTTCCTGATCTGCTGGCTTTTTGGGTGTCTCTCATCTGAGCAGTGACTTTGGTATTCGGGCTGTTCCCATTTTCAAGTTTATGCTTCTGTCTTCCATCTTGCAGCCTGGAAGGGGAGAAGAAAAGAAGAAAAAACGTTTACCAAAAGCATTCAGGTTATTTAACCATTTTGCCATGGAAGTGACTCACCACTTTGGCCACATTCTATCAACCAGAACAAGTTACATGACTTCACCTACATGCAAAGGTAGGAGCTGGTAAATGCAATCCCTGGCTGCACATTAAATAGTGAACTACATCGCTGCTCCAAGGGCAGCAGGATCCCTGGTGATCTCCTAGCTCTTTGGCTTAGAAGAATGGAATATAGATTTTTGACTAGTAATCCCTGAATTTCCCAAAGTTAATGTAGAATAGAAGCTTTGTAATTGCAACTAAACTCTCTTTTGGTTTTATAAGAAAAACAGAGTGTGAAAATTGGTTTAAGTCAAACTACAATGATTTCTAGATGAAAAATCAAGGGCCATAATAATCACTAGCATCTACCTAATCTTTTGTTTTACTATTAACACATATTATTTATCTTTATCCCAAATTTTGTACATTTTTGTTTACTATAATACCAAGAGCAACCACTAGAAATAACTTTACAAAGAGATACACTCAAAACACTATAAGTAAGTCATAATGGAATCCTAAAACATGTTTTAGTAACCTACAGGAAGACAATATAAAATAAATTTAGGTATAAGAACAGAACAAATAGCAAATAAATAATAAAATATCAGACTTAAGTGCTAACATAACAATAATTATCTTAAATGTAAGTGGTCTAAATATACCAATCAAAAGACAAGGATTAGCAGAGTGGACAAAAAGCATGATCTGACTATGTGTCTTACAAGAAACTTGCTTCAAATTAGAGGACAAAAGTAGGTTTAAGTAAAAGGATGGAAAAAGCTGTACAAATGTTAAGCACACAAGCAGGAGTAAATGGCTATATCAAATGAAGACTACAAAGCAAATTACTAGACACAATGATGGACAGCATTGCATAATGATTAAAAGAAAAAGGACAAAATCATTGCATAAAGGTGCACAATGCTGAATGTGTACCAACCAACCAGAGACTCAAAATACATGAAGCTAAAACTGCTGGAAGTAAAAGGGAGAAATAGACAAATCCACAATTATCATTGGGGACTTCAACACCCCACTAGAGAACAGTCACTCAGGATTTGGGTTCTTTCTAGCTTCTTCCTTTGCCATTCTCTAGAGAATTGCCCTAGGTTAGAAAAGTCTAGGTTACATATCCATTCATATTTTAGAATTAGAAAGAAAAATGGGACTAAGTCCAGGGAAAATTATTTTATGTATGAATGTACTTAAGCTAGAGATAGTCAAGACATTTCACACATCACTCTGTCCAATTTCCTATGAGTTTGACATTGATCTAATGACCATATCTGGCCAAATGGGAACTATAATCTCTAATTGGATGCCCTATACCCAGAAACAAGGAAAGAATAATTATTGGCTAGTTTATGAAGAATTGTGACATAGGGGATAAATGTGGGTACACAAAAGTCGTTAAGTGTAAAGTAAGAATTTTATGGCTAGGACAAATAGAAAAAAAAAAATAGGTCACAGACTTAAAAAAAAAAAAACAACTAAATCAGATGTTCACACCAACTTAAAAACCAAGATTACTACAGTGGTTAAAAAATAACTAAATGAAATCTGTAAGAAACTTACTCGAAATATAAGAATGTAGATAGGTTAAAGAAATATAAGCTGTATCTTTATCTGGAGACATAGCTGTACCATATGCAAAAATTTAATGATCTTTTACCTTAAAATGAGTGCATTTTGTGTACTTTACTCTCAGACTATTGGACAGACAGGTTTTATTCAACATGTCTGGGTTGCTCAAAACCTGCATATTCCAAAGAAAGGCCTATCTATCTTCAGAAGTGACCCTCAGCCCACTCTTGGAAGATAACTTCTGAGCTTTTGAATATTCTGCCTGACATGAGAGTTTTGTATGCCTGAAGCTTTTGGCCTGGTAGTATTTAAAACGAATACCTGTTTTTGTATGCTTGGAACTTTGAGCCATGCTGTACCATTTTGACCAAATAAGTTTACCTAACAATATGATTTATGGTGGATGCATGTTTTTGTTCTGGGGTTGAAGAATGGGATAGTTAGAGCCTGAGGTCAGTCATACAGGTGCTACATGCCTATGTGACTAAAACCCAATAAAAACCGTGGACAGCAAGACGTGGTTAAGCTTCCCTGGTTGGCAACACCTTGCCAGTATTTTCAGACATTGTTGCTGGGAGAGTAAAGTGCATCTCTACATGGTTCTACTGGTGGGGCAGACACCTAGAAGCTTGTACCTGTTTTCTCCTGGAATTTGACCATGTGTTTCTTTCCTTTGAGGACTCTGGTTTGTATCTTCTATGGAAATAAACTGTAAGCATGAGTATAATGGCTTTTTCTGAGTATTTTATGTCCTTCTTACATATCATCAAGATTGTGGTTCACCTTTTCAACAAACAGGTGAAAAAAAGTGAAAAGATGTAATGAAGAAAAGAAATAAATGTGGTTTTTTTTTTAAAGATTTTATTTATTTATTTGACAGAGAGAGACACAGCGAGAGAGGGAACAAAAGCAGGGGGAGTGGGGGAGGGAGAAGCAGGCTTCCCGGGGAGCAGGGAGCCCGATGTGGGGCTCAATCCTAGGACTCTGGGATCACGACCTGAGCCGAAGGCAGACGCTTAATGACTGAGCCACCCAGACGCCCCAAGAAATAAATGGTTTTAAAAGAAGATGTTAGAGAGTTAAAGAAGAAAAGACTCAACTATAGAGAACAAACTGATGGTTACCAGAGGGGAGATGGGTGGGGGGATTAAGGAGTGCACTTGTTGTGAGGAGTACCAGGTGTTTTACGGAAGGGTGGAATGACTATATTGTACACCTGAAAATAATATTTACACTGTATGTTAACTGGAATAAAAACTCTAAAAAAAGAAAAGCAATTTATTTATTTATGTCCTTAAAGCATTATTAAAGCAAGGAAGAATTTAAAATCTATGCAGTCCATAGTTTTAATAGGTCTTTGCAAAAGGCTTCTGACAGGGATGGGTGTGAGCCATGTACCAAAGTAATTTAGAAAGGAATAAATGATTTCTAAAGGACAAAATAATAATAGGCATGATTGAAGAGACTGATTTAGAGTTTCTTTGAATATCAGCCTTTATTTATAGAAATCCTGTTTTGTTCTTACTAGGAACAGAATAAAAGTCTATTTAGTTTCCAAAATACCAGCTAAAAATATATGTATCTTTGTCATCTCATGTTTAGTCTCTGATGAATTAGAACAATCCATTCACCAAGTATTCACGAAGTATCACTTAGATTGTTATTTTGTCATGCCATTAAGTATACTCAACTTAGTGCACTCAGTTGAAGGATGCAAGGAAAAATAAGATAGGACTCCTGACTTCAAGATTCACTGTCTGTTTGGGAAAATAGACATGCAAATACATAGGTCTATAATTGAAGTATCAGGAACTTTGGTGACACAAAGTAGCAGCATCTACTTCTACCAAGAAATCAGAAAGGAAGTTACTAGAAAAATAGGTGATGATGCATGTACATGGATTCTATTTGTCTCTTGATAATGTATGGGTGAGCCACTAGGAGTCCTAGGAATGAGACCCATTCATTATCAATGACTGACCTGTTAACTAGGAAATCATACCAAATACAGTGGCCTCTTACAGCATCTTTCTGGCATAAATTTATGGTGTTTATAATGGTGGCAACTTAGATAATAAGAGGGTAGAATTAACAAATAGAAGTGATGCTCAAATTTATATATCAGTATACATTTCAATAGCTTTCTCCCTTCATGCAGGTTTAAGAGTTATAAGGAACAAAAATATTATTACACAAAGCAAATCCAGATACTAATATACTTGTTTACAAAGCCAAGTATGTGTATATGGTTTCCAGGAAGTCAGAAGAAACAAAAAACTTTATTTAAAAAAAATAAAACTTTTCAATATCATCACATTATTTTACCATACTCCAGAATTGTACTAGGTAGAGGGAACATAAAATTAAACAAAATAGATATGGTTCCTAACTTCACAAAATCACACATAATGGAGGAAGCAGAAAACTTAAAAAGCAATTATAATACATTATGTATTATTGCATTAGAAGTGCCATGACCTCCATAGACTGGGAATAATTACAATATTACTAAAATATGTAGCAGTAAAATAAAGCAATTATCAAAACTAACATAAATAGGGCATAAGTCCCTAGGAAATTCTTCAGAAGACTAAACACTTAAAAATGGGGCTCATTCTATGATTATATTCAATTTTTCATCTCTTCCATATGCTTTATATATATTTTAAAGCAGGAAGGTCAATGAGACTTCCCTTGAGAGCACCAGCTAAGCTCTATTTGTACATACCATCAGAGAGACAATGCTGTCACGCAGATGGCCCCCTGGTCTGGGCAGCTTGACGAAAGTGCCTTTGTGTTCCTAATTAACGAGTGAACAACTGTGCCAATTGCTTTGATACATTTGAAACCTTCCGATCTCAGACTTTTGATGAACTGTTTATTCAGGAGCAATACCTGCCTGCTTTATTGGCCCCAGCACACCACTTTTAAAGGGCAGAACTGTAGTGAGATTGACAAGGATTCCTCAGTTCCAAGAAAGAAGATCATCAGGAAGCACTAACCATATTCAGGTAGTCTACTTTAGATCTCACTGATGAAAGGATAAAAGTCCACGACTATAGAGTGCAAATATTTTCTGGCAGTAACTCAATAGATCTAGAGCTCACAGTTCAGTAATGAGCTGCCACACCAACTCCTTTGATTCTGGGATTTCTCAAATCGGTAGCAGTGTTTAAAGAAGCAAGGTTTCCAGGATCTTAACTAAACTCTTGAAAAGATTAGTACTAAATTAGATGCTGACATGGAGAGTAAATTAGAACATCAAGTGATACTAGATTAATAAATGTTAAAGAGTATGCCAAATTATATTTAGCATACAAAAGGAAAGCTAAATGTTAATAAAGCCCAGAGTCCCAGACCACTTTTGTGCATATAAATGTGTGAAATGTAATGGGAGGGACAAATGTTAGCTTTTTAAAAATTTCCTTGACTGAATGTAATGTAGACAGTTTTGAGGCCATGTGATAAATGGCCTTTTCCATTTATGGGTCCATCATTTTTTTTTAATGACATTTTTCAAAATTAAAAATTACAAACCCTCAGGTATATATTTGGGAAGGCTCTTTGTAGGTTAGAGAGCTGGAGTTCTACATCGGGACTAATGGTTATGATGAAGAAGGAAAGAAGTGATAACAATGTCTAATCCTAAAACAGATTTGAAAAGTAGTCAATGTGTTTCATCTTAATAAAGGAGAGTGTTTAAATCAAGATATCTCAACCTTGTCCCTATTGACATTTGGACTGGATAATTCTTTGTTGTGGGGGATGGTCCTGGGCATGGGAAGATGTTTAGCAGCATCCCTGAAATCTTCTCTCTAGATACCAGTAGCACTCACCCTCATCGTTACAATGAAGAATGTCTCTAGACATTGCAAACTGTCATCAGGGCAAATTTGCTTAAGAACTACTGGTTTCAATTAGAGACAAAGGACTTCTAGTCTGCTGTATAAGATGGTGCAGAATTTAAAGACAACAGATGACTGAAGGAGAACTTGGCAATGTAGTAAGAAGAAGGGAAACTGTTTAGGGATCTCAGGACTAGAGGAACAATATAGCAACATGACTTGTAAATTTCTATCCAACAGAAGAAAACAATCCAGGTTCATGCTTTTCACCCCCTGACCAAAGAACTAAACGTAGGTAAGGTAAATTCATTTCTTGCCAGGATCCAATGAGGGTCCCACCATCAACACAATGCTATTCCTGTAGAACTGGCAAGGAGGTTCACAGATTGCTTCATTTGCCATACTGACAGTTAGACAGCAGGGAAAGAACTCTCCATCTGTATTAGGCTTGAGTCTCCCCTCGTCCCACTTACTTAGTGACACTACATGGAAAGGGGATAGCAGGACACCACTGGCTGGTGCCTAACAAGTTCCTGGCTCATTATTAGAATGGAGATGATAGCAAATAGAATCTGTGAATTTAAGGATAGAGCAATGAAATTTGCCCAAACTGAACAACAGAGAGAAAAATAGACTGAAAAAACTAAAAAGAAAAAAACTCCAAAAAAACAGAGCCTCAGGGATCAGTGGAAACATATCAAAAGATGCAACATGAGGGGTGCCAGGGTGGTGCAGTTAGTTAAGCATCTGACTCTTGGTTTTGGCTCAGGTTGTGATCTCAGGGTTGTGAGATTGAGGCCCATATTGGGCTCCATGCTCAGTGTGGAGACTTCTTGGGATTCTCTCTCCCTCTCGCTGTGTGTGCTAGAGGTGTGTGCTCTCTGTCCCTCTCTTTCAAAATAATAAAAGTAAATCTTAAACCAAAAAAAAAAAAAAAAATTAGTAAACTCCCCACTGTGTGTGCTCTCTGTCCCTCTCTGTCTTTCAAAATAATAAAAATAAATCTTAAACCAAAAAAAAAAAAAAAAAAAAAAACCAGCAGCAACAACAACAACCAAAAAACGATGCAACATGAGTATCACTGGAAGCCCAGAAGGAGAGGAGAAATGGAGTGAGGCTGAAAAAGGATTCAAATAAATTATGGCTGAAACTTCCCAAATTTGTTGAAAGACATAAATCCATATATTTAAGAAGCTGAGCAAACCCCAACAGGGTAAGGTCAAAGAAATCCACACCAAGATACATCATAATTAAACTTGGAAAAACTAAAGACAACAACAATAAAATCTTGAAAGGCAGCAGAGAAAAATAACACATTACTTATAGGGAATTGTATTAAAATAATAAAAGTTTCTCATTGAAAACCAAGGAGACTGGGTTGCCTGGGTGACTCAGTTGGTTAAGTGTCTGACTCTTGATTTTGGCTAGGATCGTGATCTCAGGGTCCTGAGACTGAGCCCTGAATCAGGCTCTGATTGAGGAGTCTGCTTGAGAGCCTCTCCCTCTGTCCCTCCCCTGGTGCTCTCTCTCTCTCTCAAATAAATAAATAAGATAAATCTTAAAGGGGCACCTGGGTGGCTCAGTCGTTAATTGTCTGCCTTCGGCTCAGGTCATGATCCCAGGGTCCTGGGATCGAGCCCCGCGTTGGGCTCCCTGCTCAACGGAAAACCTGCTTCTCCCTCTCCCACTCCCCCTGCTTGTGTTCCCTCTCTCGCTGTGTCTCTGTCAAAAAATAAATAAAATCTTAAAAAAAAAAAAAAAGATAAATCTTAAAAAACAAAGCAACAACAAAAAACCCCCCAAAAAACAAACCAAAACAAAAAAACAAGGAGACTGGGCTTCTGGGGAAGAGAGCAGAATAGGAGGATCTTAAGCTTACCTCATCCCCCAGATACACCTAGGTAATATCCACATCAGTGTAAATAAACCAGAAAATGACCCAAAGTCCAGCAGAGCAGGATCCCCACAGCTAACCATAGAGAAGAGTTCACATCAAAGAGGGTAGGAAAGGCAGAAATGCAATTGGGAACCAAACAGCCTCTTGAGACTATTCATGGGAACAAGCAGAGGGGAGAGGAGCAGAGCACCTACCAGGTACACCAACACCCAAGGCACAGGAGGCCATACTGGGAAGATGCATCCCCATAACATTTGGCTTTAAAAACCAGAGAGGTTAACTTTGCAAGTTCTTAAATTCAGTAACACTTAACACCTGGAACTTTAAAAATTTGCAGGCTTAGCTCTGCTAAACTGAGTGCCCACCCTTAAGGAGACAGAAAGAAACCCAGTCCCAGTCCACTGAGACACAGCACAGAGGCAGCAGTTTGAGAAGCACCTGGAGTATGCAGGAAGGAGATTTGTTTACTAATTTCAGAATGTGTGCTGGAGGAACAGGGATCTTTAGGAAACTATTCAAAGAACAAAAGAGCTGGCAAGCACCCTTTCCCTATCCTGCCCCCTCCCCCCCCCAGAATAGATACATAGACATTCTCCACCTAGCTTGCTAACACCACATATCCTGCCCCCAGGCTCTCCTGTAGCCCTGCCTTATCCAAATTTCCCTTGGCCAGAGCCCAAGTAGTGCTACAAGCATGGCATTGTGCAAGCAGACCCAACAGGGCCAATACTATTCCACAGTGAATCTTGCTCCAGGAAGAGAGGAAGATAATTACCCTTACCAGTTCGACTGTGACTATAGCAGCTGGCTGGGGGCAGACATCTGGTCTGACTGCAGGTCCTATCCAACAACAAAAGCATCTCAGGAGATAACACAGGAAGAGTGACCTGTAGTTCAGTGCAACTGCAGATCTGGAAAAAACGTGGTCTGACCCAACTCAGACCCAGTGTGGACCTAGACTAGCTCATTAACAATACATGGTCCAAACCCTGTCCACAATTGGCAATGAGAGCTATTGCAAACAACTGGACTAAAGGCAAATGCAGCTCAGCCACAACAGTAGGGCACATGCAACACACATACAAGACACCCCTGAAGTGCCAGGTGCTGATGAACAGGGGACATTGCACTGTAGGGCACCACAGAACCTCTTCTTAAGGCCACTACTTCCAAGAGCAGGAGACATAGCTGCCTTTCCTAACATAGAGAAACAGGCAGAGAGTAAGATAAAGTGAGGAGATAGAGGGATTATGCCCCAAATGAAAGAACAAGACAAAATCATGACGAGAGGTAAATGAAATGGAAATGAGTAATATGCCTGATAGAGAATTTAAAAGTAATGGTCATAAAGATAAGCAGTGGACTTGGGAAAAAAGTGGAAGATCTCAGTGAGACCCTCAACAAAGACATAGAAAATATATAAAAGAATCAATCAGAAATAAAGAACTCAATAACTGTAATTAAACATACACTAGAAGTAATGAATAGTAGACTAGAGGAAACAGAAAAATGGATTAGTGACCTGAAAGACAGAGTGGTGGAAAGAAATCAAGCTGAACAGGAGAGAGAGAGAGAGAGAAAAAAAAGAATAATAAAAAATGAGAATAGATTAGGGAACTAGTGACATTATCAAACATAACAACATTCTGATTATAGGGATCCCAAAAGGAGAAGAGGGAAAAAAAAGGGGAAAGAAACTTTATTTGAAGAAATAATAGCTGAAAACTTCCCAAATCTGGGGAGGGAAACAGAAATCCAGATAGAGGTGGCACAGGGAGTCCCAGCAAAATCAACCCAAGGAAAATAATCCTAAAATTTGTATGGAACCACAAAATACCCTGAATAACCAAAGAAGTCTTGAAAAAGAAAAACAAAACAGGAGGCATCACATTTCCAGACTTCAGGATATGTTACAGAGATGTAGTAATCAAAACAGCATACTACTGGCACAGAAGTAGACACATAGATCAATAGAACAGAATACTGAGCCTAGAAATAAATTCACGAGTATATGATCAAGTAATCTATGATGAAGGAGGTAAAAATATACAGTAGGAAAAAGACAGTCTCTTCAATAAATGGTGTTGGATAAACTGGATATTTACATGCAAAATAATGAAACTGGACCACTTTCTTAGACCATACACAAAAATAAACTCAAAATAGGTTCAAGATGTAAATGTGAGACCTGAACTCATAAAAATCCTAGGAGAGCACGGCCAGGAATTTCTGACATAAATCACAGCAACATTTTTCTAGATATGTCTCCTGAGGCAAGGGAAACAAAAGCAAATATAAACTACGGGTACCACATTCAAATAGAATGCTTCTGCACAGCAAAGGAAGCAATCAGAAAAACAAAAAGACAAGCTACTGAATGGAAGATGATATTTGAAATTTGCAAATGATATATCAATAAACAGTATCCAAAATATATAAAGTATGTACACAATTCAATACCAAAACCCCCCAAAATAATCCAGTTAAAAATGGGGAGAAGACATGAAGAGACATTTGTCCAAAGAAGACATACAGATGGCCAACAGACACATGAAGAGATAGGTCAACATCACTCATCATCAGAGAAATGCAAATCAAAACCACAATGAGATATCACCTCACACCTGTTAGAATGGCTTAAGTCAAAAACACAAGAGAAAAGAAATGTTGGAGAGAATGTGGATAAAGAGGAACCAGTGAACACTGCTGGGAATGCAAATTGGTGCAGCCACTATGGAAAGCAGTATGGAGTTTCCTCAAAAAATTAAAAATACAGGGGTGCCTGGGTGGCTCAGTCAGTTAAGCATCTGCTTTCTGCTTGGGTCACGATCTCAGGGTCCTGGGATTGAGCCCCACATCAAGCCCCACATCGGGCTCCCTGCTCAGTGGGGAGCCTGCTTCTCCCTCTCTCTGCAGATCCCTCTGCTTGTTCTCTCTCTGTCAAATAAATAAATAAATACAATCTTAAAAAAATACAATTACCATATGATCCAGTAATTTAACTACTGGGTATTTACTCAAAGAATACAAAAACATTAATTGGAAAGGATATATGCACCCCTATATTTATTATATGTTTATTATTTACAATAACTAGAATATGGAAGCAATTCAAGTGTCTGTCAGTAGATGAATGGATAAAGAAAATAATGAAATATTGCCATTTGCAATGACATGGATAGATCTAGAGGGTATAATGCTAAGTGAAATAAGTCAGAGAAAGATAAATAGCATATGATTTCACTCATATGTGGAATTTAAGAAACAAACCAAACTGAGACGAATAAAAAAACAGACTCTCCACTATAATATTTAAGAAAATATTATAGAGAACTGTTGGTTACCAGAGGGTAGATGGGTGGGAACATGGGTGAAACAGGTAAAGGGAATCAAGAGTCACTTATAATGATGACCTCTGAGTAATATATAGAATTGTTGAATCACTATACTGTACACCCAAAACTAATATAACACTGTACATTAATTATACTGGAATTAAGAAAAAACATAGAACCAAACCAAAAACGATGGAGACCATGAGGATGTGCCATAACACTTTTCAAGTGCTTAAAGAACTACGAACAGTCAATTCTATATTTGGAAAATTCTGTGTTTGGAAAATTCTATATTTAGGAAATATATTCTGGTATTAAGAGAAATAAAGATGAAATAAAGATGAAAATAATTTTAAGAAAGAAAACTAAAAGAAATATACTAGTATATCTACCCTATAAAAAAAAAGCTAAAAGATGTTCTTTCCACAGAAAGGAAATGATAAAATGATGAAATAATCTTAAAGCATCAGGAAAAAAGAACAACAGAAAGAGAGGGAAATGGGTCAATATAATAAATTATAGATACATTATGGTATGAAACATAGAACGGTGGAGGCATTATTTTAAAGGCATTGCATAGTCCAAATTTAGAGAATGAGATTATGTTTGAAAACTAGAAATGTCTCTTTGTAGATGCTATAAGAGATATCCTAATGTTTTCAGGATGGAGCTTATTTGCCTTCCATTAAATCACCAAAAAAAAAAAAAAAAAAAAAAAAAGAGAGAACATTTGATTTCTTATTTCTCAGGAAGAACTGAATGAACCAAAGTCTAACCAGCTGAAGACTCCACTAGAACTCCAAAGCATTACCCATTAATTGAGAGACTGGAAAGACATTTGTAGACAACACATTTTGGTGCAGAATAAATAGGGAAATGAGGTATATAAGTCGACAGTTGGCTCAAGAATTATGTAATAATAATTATAATGAGCTGCATATTCATCTTTGTGTTTCAGGGATTTTGTAATTGTCTTCATTTCTAAAAAATGTATTTTATTTCTGAGTCAATCTTGGCTCCTCAAACCCTCTTCCACATTCTGACTATATCACAGGAGGACTGATACTCTTGTATACTCATGTCATGTTAGTTCCATCAATGGGAACCACTGGTGGGAATTTATGTGGGAGGGGGAAAGAAACTAGGGAAATCCTTCCTCCCTCTCTGACTTAGATGGTTTCTCCAGCAGATCCTGCCCCTGTGTCTCCTCTTGGTTGTAGCTCCCTCTGTGTATTTTTCATGCTATTAGCTCACTTGGGGTGACTTTGGAAACTAGGCTCCTTTTTATTGCCCTTGAGCCTAAAATGGTAGTGGTTTCCTGCTGTTGTTACTCTGTCCATGTTTGACTTGCAGATACTCTTTCATCTGTGAAACTAATTCTTGAATTGAATTCACTATGTTAAAACAAATTGATTTTTGTTTATTGACAGATATACCTCAAAACCATGAATTAGAGAGCAGAACAAAACTAGAGGTCATTTAGTTCAATTCAATTCTGTATGTTGTAACACATAATTATTATTTTTGTTGTTCTTTTGACATACATATAAGTAAAAGCTAAAATGAGTAAGAATTTTTTGGAGTAAAAGAAAAAAAAAAGAGAGCATGATCCACTATTTTTCTATGCTGGGATAAATTTGACTCTCAAGCCCACATTCAAATGCCTTGAGAATGGACTCATCTTCTTCCAGGCTCAGGATCTCTGATGCCTGAAATATCTATACCAAATTTTTTCTAAGGATCTTAGGGACTCTTCATCATTCCCAGACCATCCCATGCCCACATCTCAGATTGTATGACTTCAACAAACCCAATAGAGATATTTTGTTATCATGAATTAATTTGTTATCACGATTAGTAACTAAAATGCATAATGGCTACTTTTGATATCGTTCATTTTCTAAATAGATTAATTAAAGCATTAAATTTTCAAAATATTTCTATATGAACTGTTTTGAAAACTATGACTAAATAAACTAAACATGAAAAGAGAGATTTTGAGGGCATGAGCTACCTAAGTTTGACTACAGAATCTGGAAGCTCCATATGGTACTGGGACAGGGAGAAGCTGACAAAAGTAGTAGCAAGACTGCCAACATGAAAATTAGTATAACAAGGTCATTTACAGACATGGGTTTGTGAAAAGTTCTTAGTGAATGAAAGAAATACATTTAGGGAAAATAAGAAACCATACAATAAGCTACAGAAAATGCTTTAAAAGATAGCATTCAAAATGCTCCCAAGGTGACTTGTACCTCATGAATAAACATCAGGATAGCTTTTGATACATTTATGACTATTCATCTCTATGTCCCAGTCTTTGGGATCTGTAGGAAAAGAAAGAGCAAGAGTAACCGAGAAACAGGTGAAATTCCTTTGGTCAATTCTCCAGTGAGATCTGTTTCTCTTTTCCTCCCATTTTCTTGGGGACTTCTAGTTCCCCCGTATTGCTCTTCTTATCCTCCCTCCCCTGTGCTGCAATCCTTTGTTAGCATTTACTCTGTTTGAGCCTCCTCTTCTTGAAAAACCTCAAATCCCTTCCTTGAACATACATTCTCATACAGCTTCCAGCTGCTTCCTCTCACAAGCAAATTTTATTGAAGATACTTGTTTCAGTTGATTTCTCCCTTTCCTTGCCT